CAATGTTACCTGCTAGGACCGTACTAATCTACTACCACTACCACCTACTACTATCTACTACTACTTAGGATTGTCATGACTGTAGATGAGATCTGCAATACAGGCAAACAGCTAGGAGTTCACACTAGTAACATCCAGTCAGTACCCTAATACCTTCATTCGGCGGCCTTAGGGAGTACATAGATAAGAGAGATCGAGGCAAGGCTAGTTAGTATTTCTTTTTTTTTTCTTTTTTTTCTTTCATTTCTTTTCTGCCGAGAGAAACTTTGGCGATTTTTCTCACGTACTATTCTGTATTACACTCATTGTCATCGTTGCTTTTACGTGCTGTTTCGAGAACGAATCAGGAGTAACCCCAGCGCCATGTCCGCCTCTCTTCTATTCTATTATCGTGCTTTAATCATTTCATTGCTCTTTCATATTGTGTGTACATATTTTCTCCGTTTTACACAAGATTCATTCTCACTCGCGCTTATTAAATAAGCATAAATTGCTATTTACTACTTTGACTCAATCTATTTCTTCATTCATTCTTCATATTATTGCTTCTCCGTGAATATCACTTTTATAATACTTCTCCTCTTTAGAAAATTACGAAACGTTTAACTCATAATCTTTATGCTAAATGTTTAATTTTCTCTTTCATCATTAACTGGCTAATTTACGCTGAGCGCAATATATTCGAGGGATGTAATACTTATTTTCCGCTCCTTTTTTTTTCTGAAAAATATTTTTCTAAAGTCTTTTCAATGTCTTTTAATGAAAGAAGTCTATACTTATTGCTTTTGCCACAAACGTTGACTCTCAGATAGATTGCGCCTACTGAATAATTCAGAGACTTTATTGTGTTTCCCTTTGCGAAATTTTCAAACTTGTTTACCTCATATTAAATGCTTAACATCTTTTCATCGCTACTGTACTCTTTGTCGTATTTGTACTCACTATTCTATGATTCTTCATATTCAATTTTGATTTCAATTAAAATTAAATTATCATTTATATATTTTCTTTTGCTTTTACAGTGCGCAACACGATTGCAATACTTTTCAAAGTATGTCACGGATTTCTTATTTTTCTATAAATTTTCTATAAATACCATCACCTATTTACACATTTTAATTATTACTACCTTTCAGATTATTATTACAAATATGACACTAAGAGGTATATCCTATTAATGCATTCAAGCATTATCATAAATCACTGTATCGCTTGACTTTGTGACGATGCTTTCACTTATTTATTCAATTAGTAATTAAATAACTGATAAATTTGCGGCTACTCGATGTGTTATGCGTTTAATAAATATTATTATCATTATATTTTAATTAATCTCTCTCTCTCTCTCTCTCTCTCTCTCTCTCTCTCTCTCTCTCTCTTTTTCTTATTTTAGTTTTAGTTTTTACGTTTTAATTTAATTTATTATAGTAACTTAACTTAACTTTACTTTAACTTTAAATTTAAAACTTAAACCTTAACTTACGTTACGTTTACTTATATATATATATATATATATATATATATATATATATATTTCTTTTATTAATTTTTATACACCGCGCAGTGAACATCTCTCTTTTTTAGATGCATTCTTTTTAGCATCTATTAAAATTTATTTCATAAACAAAAACAGAAAATTACTGGGATATTTTCATAACTTTTTGCATAAATATTCATGTATAAATTTACTCACCTAGCAAGATTCATAATAATTATATTATCCATTTACAACAATTATCCAGTAATTATCCAGTAACTTCCTGTAAATTACTACATCATTTAAAACCGGTTTGCTGCATGTTGTTTAATGACCGCATAACATTCACGTTATCTATCTAATTAAAGATAGGCGATATCGATAACATTTAAAGGAATTTCTCAACGCACAGTTCACCAATGCCGGACTTACTATATCACCTCACGTCACCGATCACGTCTTAGCTCGTCACATCATGATAATTAACTTTACAATGCTGCTCTCGCAATATTATCCAGATATTTTCTTTCCATACACATAGATCGCATGCGACACGAGTATCGTCTCGTACTCCGTCATACGTGCGAAAAGCAATATTCGTGTGTATCCGATAATAGCCGAATCGGTCGACGAATTGGAGAAACGTTTGTCGAGAGGAATCGAATAAAACTTGAATTTGTTGCGACACCAAGTTTCAGCGGCATGCATTACGGCGCGCCAACGAGCTGCAACGATTATTGCGGCGCGCACGGCCACGGCGGAGCTCTAATTCAAGCTTCTTGTGTTATTTGATTGTTTCCAGTCTGTCGATTCTAGACGACCAATAAACAGACAGACACGCTCACGCTTACATGCGAACACTCGGCAATAAGCAAGGCGGAGATAGGTAAGCCGCGCTCGTTGCGGCCGCGCGGAAACCTGAATTATCCGCATATATATATATACAGACCTTGTCTACCGTTGTCGTATCCACCTGTTAATCGTTTCACGATGCCTCGTTGCATTCTATCCCATTTTCGGCCCGTCGAAATTTACGTATTAACACACTTAAGCCGACTCACCTGCTCCTCAAAATCCAATATGCGATTGTTTTCAAACAACGTACTTCGCACTTTTATTATTTACTCGTCTGTAACGTGACACACTTCGTTTCTATTTCTTCCTTGCAAGATCGAGTGCTTCCAAAAATTATACGCGATACCAAAGAAATTCAATTATATTATATTATTCAATCAAATATTGTTTTTACGAAGATTATAAAACGTAGATGTAGTTTGCCATCACGAATAAATATATCTTTCGTGATTTCTCTACGAAGCACTCTATCAATCATTTATATACTTGTGCCTCATCTTTCTTACATGTTTCGCTATGTCTCTTTGTTATCTGTTATGATACTCTTTCTAAACGAGAAAAAAAAAACGTGTATGAGGCCTTTTCACTTTCGTGTTATATCCGATCGATTGAGTCGAATGATCACAATGATGAAACCATGTCTCCACCGACATTCAGACACTATTTATCTATTTGCTCCCTAACACCACCGCCTAGAAGTAACGTTCGGTTATTTAGCGTTATATTTCTTATCATTATCGCCACGACATATTGTTTTTTGTGAATGTAATCGTTGTGTTACAACATTCTCTCTCCCCCATCTTTCCTTGCTGCCGGACCCGAAGGAGGAGAAAAGGTGACGAGTTTCGGAGCACCTAAATCCACAATTGCTATTCACCGATCAAAGTCAAAAAAACGTGCAAAAGAATCGCGCAAAAATATATCTAAGAACGGGACAAAATTTTGCAAGCAAAAAAAAAAGAAAACAGACATAGTATAAAAAGAGATGTAAAATTTGTTTTGTGAAAATTGAGAAAAAGGAAAAAGATCCACTCACTGCCTACCTATCCACAACCCACATCACGCCCGACCACTCGTGCACCGGAATGTGCATGCGCATGCCTCCCCTGCCTGCATCCGTTATTCGTTATTATACGTACGAGTAATTGATTATTGATAATTATCTTGCCATATTTAACTTGAACATTGGCATTTACGTTACGTTTGTTCTAGTACTTTGTTTAACTTTTGTTAACGTTGCGTGTCTTTTGCCATTCGTGTTGCACGTATTTGCCGTACCGAGCGGCCGATGGACCACGTCGGAGGATTTCAGAAAAGAAACGGATGATTTCAGAATGTCGTTTGTCTCCATAAACGAATTTGTCAAAAAGAAATGCTTTCACGGAGACCGTTTCATAAATAAATTCGTGCGCTGAAATGAGTACCGAAATTTTTCCCGACGTCGATTATAAAATATTTGTCAGAAAAATAAAAAAAATCTCTATCATAGCGGAAATGCTGTCAACAATAATGTCGCATATAATAATCAGCAATGTCTCTATATTTCGAATTTAACGCACATTTAAATTCGCGATGCGATGAAAACTACATATTTATCTCGGAAAAATGTCGGTACTCTGCAAAATGGGCAAATGATCCCGCGCGGATCCTATATCGAGATCATCCTCCGACGATTTCGATCGAGCCGTATCCATCGACTACCACCACCGCGATTGTTCTAACGATTCTTTTATCCTATAGACCTAGAAAAAGCCGAGTACCAGGTTTAAGCCTCCTGAAGGAGATCCTGAACCCGGATACTCCGGATTCGTGCCGTTGTCGTCCGTTGGGCAAGATCTCTCGGGCGGCTGATGGCCGCTTTGTCGTGGCGGATTCGGTCCTCAGCTCGGCCAACAACAGCACCCTGGACGTTTCTAGCAGCGACGACGGTGGTTTCCTGCCGAAGCAGCGGCTCAAGTCCTCGTGGCGACGTCCGCTGGTCGGTACCAGCCAGCTCAGCCTGAGATCCGACGGCAGCGGTGTGTCTATAGGTCCCCTGCCATCGAGCTATCATCATGGCGTCGTAAATCCTCTGGCGAGGATACCGCCCGCAAATGCTTGTACGATTACGTCACCCAGGTTTCTGGCCAGTTCGCCGAGCGGGGCCCAGGTCCCCTGGACCCCTCTGTACTTCAGCGATCTCAGCTCCGTCAAGCAACCATCCTCCGGCGAACGTTCCTTCCCGACGCCGCCCGGCTACCTTCAGCTCCGTAGCGTGCATCAGCGATACAGTCAGGAATTACCATCGCTAAAGGCGATCCACGCCGAGTCGAGGCGGTTCGTGCCGGTTCAACCGTTGGCGACGTCTTCGCCGCCGCAGCCGGCCGGACGGCCCAGAGCGAGGCTGCCGCCGAGACACGCCAGGCACGCCCGATCGGCACCGGAGCTCGCGGCCTCACCCGATCTGGAGACCTCGCCCGAGAGCAGATCGAGCAGCTCAGGTTTCGGCAGCAAGAACACCTCGCAGCAGAACCAAAGCTCAAGAAGCGGTAGCACGGTCGCCGAATGGAGGCCGCCGCCTTACAGACCACCCCGCCGCCGTGGTGGCGCTGCGACTCAGGATCAGGCCAAAATAGGGGCGACACGCATATACAAAACGCCGTGGACGCCGGCAGCGTCGACGGCCATTACGAGTTCGATCCGGTGTCGTGCACGCCGACACCGACCTCGGCCTCGACACCCACGCGGGAGGAGAGACCGCCGATGCATCAGATCCACACGATTCACGTTCCCCACATTCATCAGGTGCACACGATACATCAGCAGGCGCCGAGATACAGCAGAGAGAACATAGAGGCCCGTGTACAGGCAATGAAGGCGGAATTTCATCAGTTTCGGCAGAGACAAGCGAGAAGACGACAGAGCGCGCACTTGGAAAGCGCGTGTTGAAGATCGAAAAGAGAAAACTCGAAGATCCGTACGATCGATCGGCGATCGATGCGCTTTTTTTATTCAGATACCGCGAGTCTAATGACGCGAATCGAAACGATTCGGATGGCTGCACACTCGCGGACGAGTTAAACACATAAAGTACGAGATGAAAGTAACATTTAAAAGAGAAGACCAGGATGAGAGAAGTCTCGAAGGAAGCTAGATATCGCTCGCGAATTGTAGATTTTGGTACTGGCTTTTGTCTACCGTAAAGAGTTTTGTCTCGCGCGTTCCAACCACGGCGACGACGACAACGTGATCATCACCGAAGACCAACCACCGCAGCACAACGAGGATCATCATCACACGTGATTCCGCATTTAGAGGAGTTTAAGTCAATTCTAGTAGCTGGACATCCATCTACAAAAGAAGGCTGTTATAAGCATCAGCTCAGGATACATAAGTTTCGCACGACCACAAGACGGGAGCGACGTAGTAGAACCGTACGTTAAGACGATAATCCTTCGGAGTTTCGCCCGTTTTACCGATTAAGAGGACTGTCGAGTATCCTACGGGGGAAACAATTTCGATATCATTTATCCGGGGAGGGATTGGGAGGGTTGGGGAGGGGTGGGTGGGGGGAGGGGGGGGGTCTACCCAGCGACGTGCCGATCGCGCTGGAACGATAATAGAAACGAAGTGCGTTAACGAAAAACGTTGAAGCCGATTATTATTGGTCATATCCCGCGTACACCAACCACGCCTACGTCCGGTTTAGAGGACCGTGATTTTTAACGTTACTATATATAATAATGTAGAGGAACATACGAAAGAGTTCACGGGGGACGAACACAGGGGGGAGGACGCTCTTTTTTTTAAAACTCAGTGGAACTGTCCTTAGAGCTAGGAAGTGCGCAGATGAAAGAGAAACACTCCCGGCTGGCTCAAAGGGATGCTAATGCAGCGGGATCGTATCCCGCGTATCGCAATCGGGAAAGATGACGAGAAAGGAAAAAAAAAAAATAAGAAGGGAAAGCAAAAGAAGGGGATAGTTACGTCGGCATGATTCTCCAAAGAAACTGTACCACTGTACATGCTCCGCGTATACCTTTTAAACATAAGATTAAATTTAATCGTACGCTGTAAGTAATAATTAAAAACGAAAGAAAAACAAAAAAAGTAAGATAATCGAAGAATTACCACACGTTCACACATATGGACACATACATGGACACGTACACACATACACGTACACGTACACACGTACATACACAAAGTAATTATATCGATGAGCAATGGACTCGAAACGTGATATTAGGCCGAAGCTTGCCTCGAGATTGCTTAAGGACTCACTCGTACTGCACTGCCTGTTTAGGGTTTCGCTAGCGACCCAACATATTATCGGCACAATAATTTTTCTTAAGCAACGTAAAAAAAAAAAAAAACGAGAATAAGAATAATGTTCTTCGAATCTACGCGCGGTCGGCTAATATAACGCGGCGATTGTGCGTGCACGTTCACCACGTGTGTCACCTGTGTGCTGGAGACACACTGGTTCATCGCCTATCGGCATCCCGGAGTCCATCGGTCGTCCTTTTCGAATTAGATTAGCGATACGCGAGCACGCGAATTCGACGACGTCGATCGGGCTTAGAGGAGAATGAAAATCATTAAGAAAAAAAATCTTTCAACTGCCAATGGAGAAGGGGTCCGATGATGCGCGTTCGATTAATTTCGTAGACAAGAGTTGACATTGAATTTAAATAAATAAAACTAGAGTAATTTTAAGTGCGGAAGGACGACCGATAGAGACACGCGGCCATCACCGCCGGAATAGGCGCGCGCGCGCGCGCACACACACGCACGCCGATCATGCCGAAGTTCGTGTATAATTAGAGAGAAGAAGGAGTTATAAAACATACACACGCAAGCGTACACACCTCCGTACACACGTATACACACAAACACACACGACAGGTACATACATACATTCACAGGTATGTACAGGTGACAGACACAGAGTACAGACACGTACATAATATACAAGAGAGGCGTTCTTCGAGACCCACCTAATTCTCACCAAACGCATCAGATCATCTTGAATCACGTGAGATCGAGGGCCGACGATCGTGAATCGTTCGGGGAGTTTTCGGGCGGGAATCTACGGGCTAATCAGTGTCGAGCTGCGCGACCTAACGCGAGAACGTGCACCCCGTTCGAGGACGCGATTTACCCTGACGCGGCGGGGGTAAACCGGCGGCGCGCTCGTTTCTCTTACCCTTTTTTTCTAATTTTCTCTACACGTGCGACACCGCGAAGACATCCTACGTGGGATCGCGATCGGACCGGCCCGCGGCTCACGGAGTTTTACTTTCTTTATAGTACAAACACTTATTTATACATACGTACATATTATACATATTTATTATAAATATTAGCAAGGGCCCTACTCACGATTCAACTATACTTCGACGAATGGCAAGAGGATAAAGAAGAGGAAGATGAATAAGAGAGAGCGACATGCACGCCACCGAGGCGACCTGTATAATTTCGTTAAAATGTATATGTATGCATGTATGCGTGGGTGCGTGCGTGTGTAATTAATAAATTAATAAATGATTCAGATTAAGCAGACGAATACAAACGAACGCGAATGAACAAACCTGTGAGTGAGAGTGAGTGACGACGGTACCGTTAATATTCGCGGTACCGTTCACAGTCATCGAAGTCGTTCGCTCATGTTTGTTCACGCTCGTTTATTCGGCCTGGATTCTTGATCGTATGAAAGAAAGTGAACGCGTAAAAATGACATGAACGAGTGGATGGAGCACGAATGAGAGTAGACTAAAACTGGACCGAGTAAACGAACGCGAACAAACGTAAATGAATGACTTGCTTCAATAATTTACGTACGCCATCGTGAAAACGTCTGGTGGCATCGTTATTCATCGGCACTCCATTGAAGCAAGTTGTGCTTCGCATTTGTTCGCGCTCGTTTGATCGATCTGCGATCCGGTCATACGTGAGCAGATGCAGTTGTTAAAATAAAAAACAGAGCGTAATGTAACATACACGATTACGAAAAGATAACAAAAGAACAAAAAAGGAATACGATAAAAGTTAAGAAATAAACGGAGGTGACGCGAAAGAGTACCAATATTCTAAAGTAATTCTAATGGTTGCATTAATAATTTGATAATTAATTGATATTGTAAATCGTAAACGACGTAGCGTGTAGCGTATTAATCAACGAGAGAGCGACGAACGCGGCGAGTATTCATTAATTAATTATTAATATCCGCGCGGAAGTATTACGAAATGTGAGAAATATAAATAGAAGGACGGGGGAAGAGGTGCTGAAAGACTCGCGTCGGCAGAATGGTACCAATTTTTATCATCAATCGACTAAACTCGTTAATATGTAACTAGCGATATCGGATGCATGAGATGTATGTAATGCCGAGGAAGAGAACAGATGTTTATCGAGTCAACGTTTACCGTTTACGAAAATGTGATGATAATACACGTTTCGCAATTATACACCGTCTCCCCCTTCGGAATGGATGCAACAAAGGGAAGAATCGTGTACGCGAGAGAAGGTGATCCAACCAACTTGTAGATGTATAAGTAACGTGTAGATATATCATAGTTAGATACAACGATCTCAAGAGATCACGCAATGTGGACGATCGCGACAAGTGTGCAGGAATGAGAGAGAGAGAGAGAGAGAGAGAGAGAGAAAATGAGAGAAAATGTGCGAGAGAAAGGAAGAGGGAAGTAAATAAAGATAGCGAGAAAGGTCAAAAAAGAAAATCTCAGACGATCTCCCGTGTTATTCTATAAACTTATCGCGTGACGCATAAGAATGGCTCGTACGACAGAACGAATATGTCTGAAACGTGTGCGAAACATAAAGAAGATCTAGAAAAACCGTATTAATATTGTATGATTGTGAGAGAAAAAGAGAGGAGAGAGAGTGAGAGAGAGAGAACGAAAGAGAGGAAAAGAAAAATAAGAGAGAAATTATGGCGTATTTATGGATAATATGGTTGAATCGTGAATCCGTTTGTAAAATTTCATCACCCGTCACGACGGTTTCGTTCGTTCTGAGTTCCTTCTTCGCGACTCGTGTGGACCTACGTTTATCATCGTCATCGCGCATTTTTTGCGTTCGCGATACCATCCATCATTGTATCTTCGCCGCGCTGTCGCACGCGCATGTAACTCGCGCGAGGCTGCGAGCGACCGCCGTGATTTGTGAGTTAATTAATTAATTAATTAATTAATTAATTAAGCGTTTCGTTTGTTATGTACCTGAAAGCCAGTCGCGATTTCGGCTCATTGCCCGAGATCGCTCGAGCGAAATTCGTGGTCCCCTCGAAGCAGGACGTTCACGATGTTGGGGATATCGGCGACTTTGGCGATATCAAGCGCAGCTTTAATCGTCACCCGGAACGTACGCTTATTTCGCTTATTAATGGATTCGTGTACAAACTGTAGATAGCCGTAAATATACAATGCGTAAATATATAAGTCGCGAAAGCTGCAGTTATTATGTCATATACACGAGATGGCGATAGCGAAAATCCATAATATTGTATTAGATAATCGCGATAAAAAAGTTTATTGTAGCTCGCGATCTCATCGTTAAATCTGTTCGCGTTAATTCAACGAACGCATTGCAATCGTTGCGAAACCTTGAAAATACCTTCAGCGTGTATCCGCAACAATAAGTATTCGAGTCTACGGCGAATTTAAATTGCAAAGGAGCACGAGACAGGGACGATGCTGCTTCGAGGTACAGTGCGCGCCGGACAAAGCGCGCGAGAGATGATAATTCAACGTGAAATATATGCCATGTCATATTACTCGCGATAACATATTGGTCGGATGAGATCATGTTCTTCATCAATGGCGAAAGACACGTTCCGAGTCGAATTCAGTGGCTCTCGGGTACTACGTTCTGCTTGGATCTGCGACTATCCACGCGCACTTCGGCTTCTTGAGATCTTGCGTAATACGCAATGTTTTCCTTGTAACATTATCGGATGTTTTTTTCTCGATCTATGCGCTCTCGTGAAACTCTCGGTGTAAAGATCGTCGCGGCTCCAAGCACGGCTCTCATCTTCGAGTGCTCTCGCATCATCGGCACAATTGCTATTGTAAAAATATTTGTTGCGCCAAATTGAATTGAATTCGAAGAACAGCGATAGAGCAGAAAGATCTTGTTTTTTTTTCCTTTTTTTTTTTCTTTTCCCTTGATTCTCTCATTCTATTATTAATTTATTTCTTGATGAGTCATCAGAATGTATTTCCACACTCGTAATCGTTAGCCTTTTCACGTCCAACATCGAATCGCTTCTACACACGCATATAACGTTCTTCTGTATCGTCTGTCTTCACTTCCGCTTATTCTCGATTATAGTCCGCCGTCGGACTTGTACACGGTGCATCGAACCGTTTCGTTGTCACTTTCGCGAATGCTCGTTGTTCACCTCCATATCCAGTTTGATTGATTGATCTATGCTTTCTCGCGAACCCCCCACGGGAACTCCAAGACATACTAACTTAGGACAAATTGTAGACAATTTATTATTAAATAAAATGAAAAATAAATCGACATTTGAAACGAAATGGGTAACATTCCCAGAACATTTGCATTTTATTGATTTACCATTAAACACGTGTGTAACGAATTTCGATATAGCGCAATAATGGTCCTTTACAGAATACAAAATGCTGGATGTATAAAAATTATCAGGTATGTATACAAAAAAATATATGATTAAATGTGCAAATTTTGATTATATTTATTGCGATATAACGCTACAAGTTTGAGTGAACTGCTGTTACCGCGTTACTGGACATAATATTATTAGAATATACGATGTTAAGTATTATCTGCGATACTGCGTTGTCCTTTCCTAACTAGACAATTTTCTTGATAACATCAGAAAATGAAGTTGCTGATTAAGGCAATAAGATAATTTTCAAAATAGTAGAATCGAATCACCGAAGAACTATCTTTTATTAGTACTTGCAATATTCATTAAAAATTAATCTTAAGTCTTTTTTTCGTCTTTCACACGATACAAAAATAATCGCAAAATATGACAACTAGAAACGCGGAACAGTCTTTAAGAATAGATTTTAGCGCCTGATACATAAAATCGTAAAATCACAGCGCGACTGTAATTTCCTCAAGAACCTACATATTACTGGATGCTAAATGTCCCACGGTACATTTGCGCAAGACGTCTACGGCATAGATTACTACAAATTGCCGTCATTTCCATTATTCCTCTCGAAATATATACGAGCGATATTATTTGCCAAAAACTGCAGCGGTGCTCCATTATGGAGAAAACGCTCTTTATCAAGGATTTTCTGTATTTCCTAATGCATTAGGATCATTTTTATATACGGAATGCCAATTTAAATCTTGATAGAGCCTTATAAATTATTTCGAAAAAAAACCATGTTCTAGAGACGAATGATTCTTCTATTCCTTGGTGTATTCGTTGTGATATTCGAAAATATTACACGCTATTCTAATAAAACACTTGAAAAATTTCTAGCAATAATTTGATTACTTTCAGAAAAAAAAGAAATAAAATAAAACATTCTCATAAATCGCCTCACATCGTAAATCTATGGTAGATCTGTCGCGCGGATCCCAGAGGGGTAATATTTTTCTATAAAAATTCTAGTGAATTATTTCCATGTCGAGTCATTTCACGCTGCGGATATCGCTGCGCATAATAGAGAGGAGAATTACTCGACAAAAAAATTTTAATGTTATCAATTGATTTTTCCGATAATGAAAATTTGAGTATCGATCCAAGAGCGGAGTAACGATTTGCATCTGTGACCGACACAGATCGTGCAACACAAGGGTTAGTGAACCTCAAATAGATCTACGATGATAGGACGATCTATTCGAGGTTCCCTATTATCTCTCTGTCTAAAACAATTATTTTTCGATGGCAGACGTCGTTGATTTGAGCAGGTGAATCAGAAATTAGCCGTTCCCTCTTCTGCGTCGACAATGAAATAATACGGTCGATATCATTATGCGCGCATTTATTTCCAGTGTTCCGAGCACATCCAATCCTGGATCGTGATCCATGCGAATGGATCCATTATCTCAACAGCGTGACAAGGCTGTGGGCAGTCTGCTAATGCGGCAAGGGACGGACGTGACGTAATCTGAGGTCACCTACGCACGACTGTTCCGACGCTGTCTCGTCGTAGTTTTGGCACACGAATCATATCAGGAATCAATGATCTTGTCACTCTATAAATATTTCGCTGAATCGTGACACTTGTCAGCAACTTGTCAATCACTTGTCACATTTTTGCAGTTGTAAAAAGAATTTTTTTTTAAATTTGTTTTATAAATTATCAGATTTTTTAATGTAATTCGTGCAAATGTATGCATCACAAATTAGTAATTATTGTACATGTATCATGTTTATCGGTAAAACAAATATATAATTTCAAGATTTTTACTATTTATCTTTAGAAAGATTGAAAAATGTAATCATAAGATATATTAATATTTATAAGTAAAGCCGAGTTTATTCTTGTTACGAATACGTTAACAAAAAGGAAAATAGTCAATTTCATTAATGTAGGGTTCATTGTGATAAATAAGTCATGAATAGAAACAGGCATTCTAGCTAAAAGAGCTTAAAGGGCTAAATGATAATTATTCAACGTAGGCGTATAAATAAAAGGGTTCAAGGGACTTTTGTCATGAGAGTTTATGTATATCTTTTTTCTTCTTCTTTTTATTTTATTCATTTAAACAGACATATGATTATTTATTAAAATAAAATCAATAATATGTTTCAAACAAGTATATTTATACTCATTATCTCAATAAATAATTGCCGTAGCACTGTCTTTCAATTTAAAATGTGACTCGTATAAGTCCATTTGTGCCATCATCAGTTAAAGAGATCAAGGATTCTATGCAACTGGGTGTAGTGAACTTTTAAGGTCTACTTGTGCCGCACGAGGGGCTCAATCCTCTCGAATCAGCTTTGACCAAGAAAGAACAGCGATGAATGAGCACGAGTCGGCGACCGAAGATAAATTGAGTGCAGGTTAATTCTTCCGTTTCCGTTACAAAAACACGATTCTTCATACATTTCAACAGCGATACTAAGGATTGTATGTCTAAAAGAGACTCTGAAGAACAAGTCTAAATGCTTAATCACATTCATCATATTTAGCTCCAACAATTACGTTATATACTGAATAATTATCTGTATTTAACAAAAACTTATTTATTAGAAACATAAAATGTTTGCTATTAACAATAAATAAAATACGTATTTTTTTCTAAGATTTTTTTGTATACATTCCCACATACATTTCTCTTTTAGCATTGCAGAATCTAGGTTAAAATTAACCGAAACGTAAATAACTAATTCTATGTTGAATGATGCGTTTGAGGAAATGTATGGGCTCGGCATTCTCTGTACTCTGCAATTCATTACTGTGAAATCTTTCTTCTCTTTTATAGAATTAAACGCTGAGATATAATCGTATATGATATGTAGGTTACGTTTTGTACAACGCCGTTCATTCGTGTCGCCATGGGTGTGTCTAAGTTCGCATGCGATGCAAACCAGAGCATACGCATCGTAAACGTAGAATGCGCGATGATCTATCTCTCATCCCCCTCCCGCTATACATCGCCATCGGTCCATCCACCCTCGCAGCCCCCTCCCGATGCTCGTTACTCCTGGCTCTTCGTATCCGCTCGAATTGAACGGGTACGGCACGATTACTCTATCTAGTGTCGCGTCTGGAGCACTCTACATTGAACCAGTCTTGCTCGACGTTGTTTAACACCGGTGCAGGATATTTCCACTCCACGCGTTTTCCAGTGTCAACGACCTCGACAGTGACACTGGTGTCCTGGATGAAGTCCTAAGGCCCAGGACACTGGTAATCTCGTGCCGATGCTTAAATATTAAAACCGACATTCATCGGCAAGATTCCTGAATGCCGAGATAGAGGAGAGTTTGTGCAGGCACTTCGGGAAAGTGCGTAAGAATTCGGGGGAGAGATTTAAGCAGTCTCAGCGACAACTCGAGAGCGGAGAGAAGAGGGAGAGGATGGTCAAAACATATATATTCATGGTGTGAGAGTGACGCGTGCTGATTGAATGCCAAAGGTGGTCGCTGATAATCGATGAATGCGGGTGATGATAGATGTGCCGGTGTCGTTGTTGCGGAGTGTGACTTATCACCAGCGCATTTCCGTCAGCCTGTCCTCACGACACCGTTGACGTAATATAGGTAAACGTGAAAAAACGTGAGACAGGATTTAGAGCGCAAGGAATCGCGATGAATCGCGCTACCAAGTTCTACAAGCTGCTGGCAGTCCTCTTCTGCTACGAAGGTAAAGAATTTTGGAAACTGATAATCATATATGTTTATCGCGCATTAGAAGAGCTCTAGTCTCTTTACACAAAAAATACAGAGACGGAAATATTTTTAGAAAAAAAAAAAAAAAAGAGGCAATTTCAGCTTTGCGTATAGAAAAATGCGAACTCGACGTGTCAGGCTGCAGATGTAACGACTACACAATTCGTAATAACGCTGATTGCCATTTAATGCGAGGTAAAGACGAGCTAAATTCGAGAGACTGCCGCTGAGAGTAATTCGAAGGGAGAAATGGGAGGATTTTATTTACCCGAATAGTTGCCGAATCGGTCGCTGCCGAATCTGTTTGTGCATAGCGGGATGGGGCGAGGGAACGGATGACAACAACGTATCATTTTGTTAACGCGCTCGATCGTCACGCATAATCCGGCGGAAAATTACGCAATCTCTCCGGAAATTAGTCCCAATGTGTAATATCACTTTACACGCGACGTCTTCTCACAGGCATTTATCTACAGCGTTACGCCGTCGAGATGCGCGGATTACTAAAAATCAATAAAGATCGCGATCATTTCTCGAAGGGTGATTTCATATCGCCGATTTTTCAGCCTACAGCTATAGCCTGATCCTAGAGGAGGATAAGGAACCGAATTATCTTACCGCCGGGGTAGGGGAGTATGCGGTGTTTAATTGCGATCTTGATTTTCCACACGAGACGCCAATTCCATATATTCTTCAATGGAACCGTGACGTAAGTATAATCAGAAATTCATAACCTTCCCCTGATAACACACATTCAATAAATATTTTTATCGTAAAATATTTATTTTTCTTTTTCTCTTTTACATATCGTTGTGCCATTCATGCCATTTCATAATAAGGTTTACAAGTTGCTATAACATAATCCAAAAGGAAAGAAAACAAAATAAATTTGTAAAGTAGATAGCACTAAAAGACAGATATGCAAAATGGCACTACATATTGCGTGATCGAAATAATATTCAACGCGTGCCTTGGATTTTACCTTGGACCAAATGTGCACGTATAATTTATTATGCAAGTATTTATTAAGTAATTATAAAAACTACAATGTCAACATGCGACATCTAATAATTTGCGTATTGACGAATTTGAAAAAATGACCCAAAACAATGTAAAACATATACATTTGATTACTCGATCAAAAACAAATAAATTGATTCGTTGATTCGTTTAAAAGAAAAACATAAAAAAACATAATAAGTGTAGTTGAAAAAAAAAGACTTATTTTATATGGAAGTCGAGATGACGCGAATCGCTTTAACAATGTACACATACAATGACATGTCACACGTAATAAAGGTAATATGACGACATGTGATTGACTGATTGGCGATTAAAGAGCGTTAAGGTTGTGTTAATCGGTTAATTTACATATGGATGTGCTCGCGTATACTCGTGATCTCGCGGCAGAGACGCGGCAGAGAGAAGGGAAATATTCAAGGTAAAGTGGGTTAAATTCCTTCGAAAATATATCCGATATTCCGACGTGACAATCTATCCGGATATGGAATTTTATATCCTCTCGATTTCAAGTAGACACTCGATACGCGGGAGAAATAAACCAAAGGATATGACAGAGATGACAGAGATGACGAAATAGCCTCACGACGGTGTCGTGTTGACCAGCTGGCAAAAAATAGTTTTGACCAATTAAAAAAACCTAGCGGTAATTTATACGACATCGCTAGAAACGAGATAGAAGAATCGGATCTCGCAATACGACTAAAATAATAGAGCACAAATTTGCTCGAGTGCGAGACTGCGATCGCGGATGTCACCATTGGACATGACCGTACGACGGAAACGGATTGCACGTGGCTATCGCAGAATCAAGTGGAACTCAACTCTGATTGGTGCCTGATGCGTATGCAAAACAGGTGCTCCTTCCCTCTTCGTCTGTAACGTCGTGGTAATTGGAGTACGGGACGCAAGGCTGCATTATATTTAGTCACGTTCAGTCTACGACATGAGGGGACCAACATGAGTGGGTCACTGTTAATGCATTGTCAGATGATTAGAAGCGATTAACGCCATTCCCGTCCCCGTAGACGAGACGTATCCTCCTTTCGAGGATTTTGAGTCCGTCGTTAATGAGCGTGGGTGTTACTGACCGACGGGCCAATAATTAAGACGTCGCGAATGACACGAGGCATCCTCGGTTATTAGCGCGATGCGCTTCATTAGCGCGCAACCTTGCGTGAATAAAAGTTGCGAATTTAATATTAAACTTCTTTGTTGAACGGCGTGAGTCTTGCATTCCGCGAAAGGATGACCCAATTAACATTGCTGCAGCCGCTATCACGTTACGCGATATAATTTCCTCGAGACGTAGGTTCGCCTACGTCCATCGTATGTAAAAATCGTCCGTTCAATTGGATATTCTTGAGAAAAAAAATAAGTCGCAAACAACATCACTTTCTTACGAAGTTTTTACGAGCGTTTGCACAAGCATGAATCTTAATTCCGAAATTTATCTTTTTCAGGGACGTGCGGTATTTTCTTGGTACGACGGACACGTGACGGTGGAAAATATTTACAAAGGTCGCATACACTTGCTGGACGATGCCGGTCATCGTGGATATGGCCAGGGGAGTATAAATCTCACGAATATTCGCGAAAGCGATCAAGGCTGGTACGAGTGCAAGGTAATCTTCCCCAATAGAACGCCGAATTCAAGACACAATGGCACGTGGTTCCACCTCGCCATTGATGGTAAGCTAACAAGTTCACAATTCTTCTTACATTCGCATGTGATTAAAAATTATAAAAAAAAAAAAAACAGATAAAGCAACAAGAATTTATCGACGCATTTATTGACTAATTGTCATATAATTTTCATTGTAAAAATGTAATCTCGTTAGCATGTAGATATAAATACAATCTATTAATGTATCTATTAATCTATGAAGAATGCAAAATCTATTAATACTGTTTGATAGCAACTAACCAAGGTTGAATCAGGTCAGCCCGACGTGTAAGCTAACTGAGCTTATAGCTGTGAAATTCGTGCTCTAATTTTTTGGCAAGTAGGATATGAGTCTTCAAATTTCAACACCGTTTTAATATTTAAACTTCATCGCTCGTTTAAGCATCTCGGACGTTCATGACTCTCTTAAATCTTAAGCGGCGGAGAGTCTTGAAGTTATTTATTTCCCCTTTCTTATCTGACACATTTATTGTATTTATTATATAAAACGAAATTCGAATAAAATAAATTTAATTATTAATATTAAATAATACAAAAATATTAAAATAAAAATAAGAATAGTATGGTTGTAAAATATATATGTTAAAAACTATATTATTTATTTATGAAAATTTTTAGCTAATTAATATATTGGAATTTATTAAATTTAATAAAACTTTTATTTATCATGTATATTATCATGTATATTTATCATGTATATTATTTAAATCGATCAACTCAATTAAGGAAACCCCAATTCATTTATTAACTCGAACGGAATCCCCGTTAAGCTTTATTACATATTACGAGAGAAGACTGAGTCACTCGTATATTCGAATAACAACTTATTTATCTTGACTTATTGCGGAAAGCAGCTATTCTCGTGGTCAAGTAAATTCAAGGTTGTACCATAAGCCATAAGCATGGTTTTCACAAATATTGCTAATACGAAGCGGTCAACACAAGTTTACACATTTATCTTACTTATTAAATTTGAAATGCATTTATATAAAGCTTTGATGATAATGGTACATTAACCGATGCTAATGGATATGTTTTATTAACGCGTATGTCAGAGTTACAAAATTAAAAGAAATGCAAAATAACTAATTGGTTGTCTCGCGCCATTAATATTGCTCTAACATGAAGCAATCAGTGATTAATATAAAAGAACGTATTATAACCCCGCCGCTGCTTACTAACCTGAATCTGGGCAGACTCGTTAAATCGTTCAACCCAGGTGCGTCGCCGTTTCCGACGACTGTTGCAGGTGACACTCTACTTGCGATACCACCTGTCAATAAAACTGCCATGGAAGGTGAAGTGATTACCTTTGACTGCGTCGCGAAAGGAGAGGGTACTATCGTAACTTGGTTTCGCGAAGGAATACCCGTCTCGGAAATACAAGTACGACCTTTAAGTCTGACTTTTATAACATATTTCGAAATATTCCTTGACATTTTGAGAAAAATTCTGGAATTTTATCGCGGCAGGATCTCAAAAGAAGAGCCTCTACCGGTACCGATGGAACGCTGACGATAAATTCAGCCGCCATGGGTGATCTTGGAGAATACACGTGCGTGGTGACTGGAGAAAATGGAGATGAGCAAAGCGCATCGGCCTTTCTTAATGTACAATGTGAGTATAGCGACATACACATTAAATTGATATGTCTAACGACTGATAATCAATCTTTTTATTTAGATAAGGCGAAGGTGATCTATGCACCACGGGAAGTCTATCTTCCGTACGGCAAACCAGCACTCTTGGACTGCCATTTTAGGGCGAATCCGCCCCTCACAAACCTCCGTTGGGAGAAAGATGGCTTTCTCTTTGATCCTTACAATGTGCAAGGAGTCTTTTATAGAAGAAATGGATCTCTCTATTTTAGTAAAGTGGACGAGACGCACTCGGGAAGTTACAGTTGTACTCCCTATAACGAGCTAGGCACTGACGGACCCAGCCCTTCGATCACAGTGGTGAGTATCCATCATTGAGTTCCACACAAATAAAAATAAAAAGGTGAAAAGAAATCGATTCGCATTGACAAAGAGAATATTAATTAATATGTGACATATGCTAACTGGTTCAGGTTGTAAATGACAAGATTGTAAATCCTTGCAATTTCGAGGTAAATTTCGATTTTAATCTTTTTTAATAGAAACACATTTTTCAAAAACTAATTATTTAAGATCTTCGATATTCGATATTGTTAATTATTACAGATAGTTCAAAGACCGCCGGTGTTTACGGTAACGCCACAACATTTATATATGCGAAAATTGGGTGAAAGCTTAGAAATTCCTTGTGATGCCAGAGACGGTGACGATTCGCATCGACCAGCCATCGTATGGTACAAGGTATTTTCTAATGCTCAATCGCGTTAATTGAACGCATCATGTAAATTTCATTAATAACGAAGTCAATTTTTTTTTTTTTCGAAGGACGGATCGCCTTTGATGTCCGAGAGAACCATAATGATTGGCGGCAATCTCACGATAGAAAAGATCCAAGAACATGATCGAGGATTGTATCAATGTGCAGCCAGCAACGAGGCAGCAACGGTCGTCGTGGATGCTGAATTAATGGTGCTGAATGTGCCACCCAGAGCGCCGTACAATTTAAGCGCTAACAGCAGCAAAAACGCCGTCACTTTGACTTGGGTACCAGGATACGTGAGACCCAAGATGGAGTACTCAGTATGGTATGTATTTTGCATACGCGATTTATTATTTGTAACGCTTCTCCGATAACAAAGCGATAAATTCTCATTATTGCATTTTATTGTTACAATATATAATGTTTTATGGTATATAATATAAAACGTATATCTTTCGTACATACACAGGTACAGACCGACAGATACGTCGGAATGGAGAACCATGAAAATTCTCTCGAGAAAAATTACGGAGGCTACGGTCAACAACCTCCACCCAGGACGAGAATACGAGTTCATGGTGCTCAGCCAGGATAAGCACGGCGATGGGATGTTCAGCAAGGCACTTCGAATATTCACTCAGCCAAGTAAGTTTGATTGATTACATTTAAGCAAGATATGTGAAATAAACTAATAAGGGATTTCTTTCTTTAGGTTCCTTCGACGAGAACTCGGCATCGGAATATCGCAGTTCGCAAGGTGAGTAAAAGAAATTTAATGATGAAGTTTATGTAAAGTAAAACATATATAAAAATTTTCTCGATACATAATTATATATCTCTTGATATTATAATAATTTCTATCAAATATTTCAAAACTGTAATATGAATTTGTTTCAGAGACCGAAATCATGGGGCCACCGCGCAATGTGAGAGTGCAAGCAACCGTTGAAGGTTTTTTGGTCACGTGGGAACCACCTGACTTAGGCAAAAATCAAGTTAGACTTTATACTGTGAGATGGTATAGAGGACCATCTGAACATTTATACGGCAGAGCAGAAACGACAGACACTTATTATTTAGGTAACGATTATTCTTGTAAAATAATTAGCACGCGTTATTTATTTATTTTATTTTATTTATTTATTTATTTATAATGGTAATTATAATAACTGACATTATTTACGATTGATATTATCAGTAAAAACTTTGGAAGAAGAAAGTTTCTATACTTTCGAAGTGGCAGCGATGTCTCTCACGGATGATATCGCAACTAGCGAACGAGTCGGCCTAGAAGTGCCCGCTTATCGTCGCAACAGGGCGATTTCTATGGGAATTGTCGCCGGTATTGGCTTTTTAGCCGCTGCTCTAGCCGCTGTATGGTGGGCGAGGAAACGATTCTGCCAGCCATCTAATGAAAAATAACCGAGCAAATACATAAAATATATAAAATACGTAAAAATGCACGTGAGTGTTTACAAACAGAATAATTATTCATACGAGTTTATAAAAAATTATAAATATGTATACTAATTGTCAGAAGTTGTTTCAAAAAAAAAATGGCATTGCATCAAGATATTTTACAAAAAATACACAATTTTCCTTAAAGCAAGATCTTATAAGTTCTTATAAATTAATATACATGTCTTAAGATCTTATAAGTTCTTATAAATTAATATACATGTCTTAAGAGTGGAAAAATATGAATCGTAAAAACATATCTAACGTCATTATGTTATCATAAAATTGGTATTAGATATGCAAAAACTTTTAGATTACATCAAGCGATTTTGTTTGTTGAGCTCTATTCTATCTTACTATCGAGTGTTCTTGCGTCGCTAATTATATTATATTTTGTATGTCGTTTAACAGCTTTATTAAATAATTGCACAAATGTTAAATGGATAGATTTCATGTGTGAGTTGCAGATCGTTGACCTGAATATGAGATCATGAATCGAGAGTTTCGTGTATTCTTATTACATATATTCTTTTTCTGTTGTACATAAATTATGTCTTTACACACACTTTTCAACACACACACACACACACACACACGCGCGCGCGCGCGCGCGCACACACACACACACTCCTCATTACTTTGTTAATTTTATTCAACGCAGTATTATCGCGCGTATATATTTGTACATCGCAATAGTTGCAGACAATAATAAAGAAACGTGGGAAGTTGAATATTTGTCCATCATCAATAAACTTAATTCAAATCGTTGGTTTCGTGAATAAAAAATAAAATTTCATGTTTACTCAGATGCATATTTCGCAAATAGTCTAGAAAGAAAATGATATTTATTTATAGATAATTATGTATATTTATCTTGAATGTTGATAAATATTTATTACACGCACATGAGCGGCTTTTCTACTGGCAAAATTAATATTAATATTTGAATCACATTTGAATTAATATTTGTACATAAAAAGATGACGTTGAAAAAAACAGCTGTCGATAATTATGTAAAAAAATATAAATTATCACTCGCTCAAAGTTCTAAAACACATTACATTAAATGCGTGTTATTATATGATTTTGCTAAATTTATATTATATGTGGATTTCGCATTAAGATATCTTAGCGATGATTAGAAATCTTATAAATAGCGATGATAATTTTATGTCTAATCGCATTGTACGCTACTCCTCGTAAACTATTAATTTCAGAAAATACAAGAGATATTTTTACGATCGCCCACGCAACTTCACTCTACCCCTTTACTCTGTCTACTGATTATGATGACATAGCCGGCATTGTTTATACGCACGTGCGAGCTGCTTATTACTATCATCGTACTGACAGCAAAGACGCGCGTGTTGTTTAGACACAAAATCGCATCTGGTAAATTGACTTGGTGGTCGATGCATGTCTATATCGAGACGAGCATGACAAAATACCGGGCGCTCTTACCAGCAAGCGAACGATCGTGTGCGAACGTTGACGGGCTTCGTAAGCGGCCGGTTGATATCCGGTGATCCACAAAGACGGTATTTCTGCATAAATGCAACGCCTGCCGGAAGATAATGGCTTCTTTCTGCGGCGAGTTGCTGAAAAGACATCGCTTGCCGTCACGATAAAAACACGTTGCCAAAATACGACTCAATGGCTCCGAAATTTGCATTCCGACGTATGCGCAATTATCGACGACGTAAAATCACGGACTGCAAGGTCGAAGTAATACTTATTCTCAAAAGACGGCGAGAATTATCACGTCAGAAACGTTAGCTACAACCACGCATCCTATTATTTTAAAAGTAGGATGTCACCGAATGGTTAAATTTCTTTTCCGAAAATCGGCCTTGACAATTGATGCAATATTGCGTATTATCGCATGATTTTTCCTCCAATTTATTTGTTTGTTGTTCCTGAGACACACAAAGAACAATGTACTTGCAAAATCCATCAGTTTTACTCTTTTTTTACTTATTATTTGGTGCATGCTTAATTTGCGTATCTTGTTTTCATTGTTTGTATTTAATATTAAAACATCCATATGCAATACTTTGCACAAAATATTTTTTTGTTGAAATTTTTATTACTTGTCATGTTTTAAGTTATTCATATAATTATACACAATTTTAATACAGTGACTTTTACATAGATTATAAGTTATACACTAGAATTCTTTAATTGATCTAAACCGACTTCTTTTAAATTTAAATCCTGACCTTCTAAAAACAAGATTTTCAAAGGGTAATTGATTAAATTAAAGCCGATAAAAATTATAACGTCTAGTGGCAATATCCTATTGAATCTAAATGAAGCTAATAGGTATTATATCCAAGTTGCCCAACGACCGATAGTAGTATGACATAACGTGTCTATGGTATATGGTAAATTATATATTTGAAAGATATTGTATTCTTTTTCTTATGAATTTCAAGAATATAATTTAAACTTTATGATACTAATATATACTTTATATGACTTATTGTGATTTGATTATCACTCGATGTATCATTAACTTAAATTTATTATTGATAACCTTCAAAGAAAGTTCAAGGAAGTTTCTAATAGTTGAAGAAAAAATCGCACTGATTATTACAAAATAGTTATCATATTACGTATAACGATTAAAATATATACAGTGACTTATAAAATTAATCAAGCATTTAGAAAAGTACAAAAATTTGTTTAAAATCTGACATAAAGCTACCATTATTTTATAAATATATTTTATTTATATAATTATATACTTTATGTATATAAAATGTACAAATTACAAAAAATTATTTATACAAAAATTATTTTATACTTATTTCGTTTTCGAGATATTTAAAAAATTTCAATTTTATAATTAATTCTATATCACACTAGTATCTAATATACTCATTAAAAACTTTGAAAAATATAATTTACACGAAGAATATTAGTGCAAAAAGAAAATATAGAAAAATTGCTATTGAAAATTACCAGAGATTACGAAAGTTTACCGTTTACCAAACTTATAAACTTTCAATCGGGCAATTTTCATAAATTTTGTAAATTGACTCAAATTTTACTCTTAAAACGCCTCTGCGGGCGTAACATTAAACTTGCTCCCATCTAATCTCTCTTCAAACAGGCATTTTTATCTTTTTAATGCTTACGCAACTGATTCTCGTGTTTAATGTTTTTAATACTCTGGCAATATTCCGTAGCATTTCATCGTCAGTTTTGTGACAAAATCACGAAAATTGATTATTTTCTACTAATTCCCAATTTTGATTTTATTTACTGCATAACTTTTTGATGTATAATAAACTTTCTGTAGATCAACTTTGACATATATAATAAATATATACAATAAGCTTTCTGTAGATCATCGATCGAGATCATCGGATCAACAGAGTCAGAAAAATGTATGTATATAAAACACGAATGAATTTTTCACACATGATAAACAATGACGACTGGCAACAAGGGTTGAGAGGTGGTGGCACTTCATAGGCTTGCTACCTGCCAAGAGCGGGATCATTCTCGTCCAAGTTACATATCGGCAGTCTGTCCGGTGTCGACGGATCGTCTGGAATATTAAGTTTATGATCTACTTCTCGTAAACAATCGGTAGCTTTTGATAAAAATACGTGTAATAATCTCTAATAGTATCACGTGTATCATTATACACGAATTAAAATGTGAAAAATGTGTGAAGAAGCTAAAATAATAATGACATTACGACGGAAACAGAAAAAAGTGAGAAGAAGATGTACACGTGGTACACTTTTTGAGTGTCACGCGTTGGCGCGTTTGACTGCAATTTTTATCTTCAATGTACGTAATATCTGAAAAAAGGAGGTCAAGACCAAGGATTAAAGGCGGGACGGAATTGTCTTTTGGCTGCAAGTGAGTCTGAAAGTGATTACTTAGAGATCTTGAGGAGCACGTACCATGGGCAACCATGAGTGTGTCGACAGACAATAAATAAATTTCGAGGATGAAAAAACTCTCTTTGGTATATTACGATAGCAATATTCTTTCAATTCTATTAAAAGGCGTCCTCCAGTAACGAACCAGCACTACTTTTAATTGCTTCCAAAAAAATGATAGTGACAATTTTCGCTCACATTCAATTAAAACTTAATATCGCGACATGTTCATACGAGAATTAACGATTACTTTTTAGAGAACTAGAAATTACTTTTTAAGATACGTGTATTGTATCGTCCTGTAATATTATAGATGCAAAAGTATTGACCGATTTATATATCCGCCCACACATTAAACAGATTTTTATATTAACTTTGTCGTTGGACTATCTTCATCTCTTGAATTCTAATCATAGACAAGGAAGTGTCGATAAACTGTGCGTATGAAGTGCAAAATCGGATTATTTCCATTCAATGCACTGACGCGGTTCGACGATGTGACAATAATTTATTCAACATTTATGTAAGGTCGCGACATAACAAGGCTAACAAGTTTGCCTCGTCAATAGGGCTGTCCTTCTTAGGAGAATTAGGCTATTCATTATGTTCAAATTTATTAGACATGCAGCTTCGTCAGATCAAGTACTTGTAACAGAAAAACGTTAGTCTATTTGTACATGTAAATTATACGTCTTTCTAAGCAAAATTTTATTCTGAATGACAGAGGTCAGCCATTTTTATGCATATGCATATGCATTCTCATAAATGCAATGAAATATGTGGCTAATCATACACATGCAACGAACAAACAAAAAATCCAATTTTCACACCATTGGCTTAATTGGCAGGAGGTAGAGTTGAAGTGTGCCACAAAAGTGTACAAAAAAATTTAGCATACATTTCTATCAAAAACTTGAGAATTATTATACCTAAATTTCATAATTTTATTCTTGCATTTTTTAAATAATATACAACATGACTTTAGCATAGAAAAGTAATGAATTTATAAAATATTTAAATGCGTGATAAAATGTAATTAAAAATATAATATTATCAATCAATCTTTTTTAAGGCATATATAATTAATCAAAATACGATTTATAATTATTATTCATTATAAATGGATATAATAGGAGCTATGTAATCATTCATTATGTTATCTATAAATAAAAAAAAATATGCGCCGTTACTGAATTTTTGTAATATTATGGAACAGTAATTTAATTTTAGTTTAAATATTTATTCTTCTTCCAAATATCACTTCTACGAACAATAATTACTTCACGGTTGGTCATGAAAATGAAGAGTTTGCAGAGCAGACAAACTCAGTCGCGACGAAAGAATTTAACCCATTCTGTGTATCATTGATGGCCCTGAACTCTTTCCTTCAAACCGTTTGACATTTTGAAAAAGAAATATATCTTGTGTTATATGTTCTATGTTAATTATAAATTGTTTTTAAAAAGTTATTTAAGTTCTTTGTTTTATGGTACATTTTTCCTTCAATCTTCTTCGATTATTTTTCTAATCTTATAGCTTATAATACGGACAATTCGATATCTGTATTATTAAAGATATAATAAATTAATGTACAAATAACATGGATCACACATAGATTCATACATCTGCCGAATGAAGAGTCACGTGTAATTGGTGCGATAAGAAACGTGCTAAGCGACAGAAGGCCGAAGTCTTCCCACGTGGTCGCGTTTGAGCATCGTAGTGGTCAATTTGTTGGGTTGCTAGCTATAAGGGGGACTATCTGGAAGGGAATAAGGCGCGGTCACCAGGGCGCAAGGGATCGAGATGGTCGGAGAAAAATTCTTCCTAAATGGAGGGGGGTAACAGACGTTAGATACTGCCTGTTGATTCACACTGCTCGTCAGTAATAAACGCGTCGTATAGAGAACCGGATCGCAGAGACACGCGTGGAGTATCAGTTCCTGCATTCGACGGACACTGCTCTGTCGTTTTTCCTTTCTTCTATTTAAAACAGAAAGCTGATTTTCCGTGCGCTTCAATGTCAACATTGAAAAGAGGACCTATAATTTCGGCTTCTTGAACGGTAAGTTTCCCAATTAAAGTAAATAAATTTTAAAAGAAAATATCTCTTTCACAATTTTGAAATCGACAAGCTATAATGTGAAATAATTAGAAATAAATATTATATGTATAATAATATTAAATAAATGTAATAAAGCATTTTATAAAACAATTAATTGCACACAAATTGCAAAGAATCCGTTATAAAAACTAGATATTTTCGCTTATAGCATAACAATTAGATGCTATTGGACTAAACTAATTTACATCAAGACTAATTTACATCATACATAATTTAGAAATATACAATTTCTAATTGTGTATACACACACACACACACACACACACACACACACACACACACACACACACACACACACACACACACACACAACTAAACTAAACTTAA